AGACCACAGCTCCGTATGTCTCCTTTTTTTGGTATTTTCACACAAATTCTTCTGCTAATTGGGGTTTAGTCCAATTCTGTATCCTTCCCTTCAAGGCTCAGGGGTCCACGATTATCTTCTATGTCTGTGTTAATTGGTTTCCCTTTTCTTTGTTGAAGAGGGTCTTTGCAATCCTTCTGCCTAGTCCGCCATCTTGCCGGAACTCGCCGAAACTTGGATTTTTAATTGAAGCAGGCCTCTCTACCTGGCTAACTTACTCATAAACAAAAGAGAAGGAGGAGAGAAGGGAATCTAAGTAATTTTGGAGGGGAGTTCTATACAGTGTTAGTCTGCCCTCCTCATCACCCCCCACCCCAATGAGAAATGCAGACATCGAAAGCAGAGTTTCAGAGAGTGACCTCTAAGGATAATCCACTAGGCAGTGTAACCAGCCTTTATTTTCAGATCAATGTAAAAGAGGGAGAAAATATCTGAGATCTTTCCTAAAAGGCTGGAAATGTTCTTAGCCTAGTGTATCATTAAATCTGTGATGCAATATGGCATAAGGGACTGATCTGAAAGTCTTATGTCCCTGGATACTCATATCCATTCTGTTGTTGACACTCAGCCTTTCATGAATTCTTTGCCCTCAGTGTTAAAATGAATGCTTACAATAATTGAATTATTGCTTGAGTATGCTGTTTGCTAATACTAGTAATAATGAATGAATTGTAAGCTAGTGTTTGAGGTGATGCAAAAAATAGTTGGCAACTGATTTTGGAGCTATTGGTTCAGAATTTATGATGTATCTTTTAGAGAGAACTTATGATAGAAAAGAAACACCAGGCTGGGGACAGGAAATCAGAGCTCTAGTTTTATCATAGTTTTAACTTGTTGAGTGACTTTTTTGGGACTTAATTTCTTTTGAGGCAAAGTGAGAGATTTGGGGTGGGTGGTCTCTTATAGCTACACTAGTGTAAGCATTAAATTTAGAGCACAGATTTAGTAATTTGGGTGGGGGAGAATGGACATATTTAATTGGCTTTAGAGAATAGTGTTTTTTTTTTTTTTTTTAGAATTCTAATACATCTATTTCCATATGAATAAAGGTATGCTAATTGTAAATCATTCTTCTTTCTTACCTGTTTACTAAAATAAATTTCAGTTGGAATTTTCATGAGTATTTTAAAAGTACTAAGTGTGTTTCTGTATGCTCATCATCATTACATCCTAACACTTAGTACAATGCCTCACACATAGTAGATACTCAGTAATCATAAGAGCAGATGAATGAATTATGTGCATGAATAAGGGAATATATAAACGGTGTATAATTCAGACCTGCCTTCCTGTAAGTTATTTTGAGAATCATGAGGTTTACTTCATTAGAAAAAGTAGGTGCAGCTAAATATTTGTTGGAGAAGAGAGAATAATTTTGGAAATTTGGCTAGGGGAAGATATAGATTTATTGAAGAGGTACTTATGTTCCTGGCACTATTTCTGGTTTGGAATGAGTCAATGAATGTACTGTATTATAAGCAGTGAAAACATTTTAAACTCTGTTTTTTTTTTAATTTTTTTTATTAGGATTTGGGTGAAGATTTACAGAGTAAATTCACTTTTCATACAGCAGTTCACATATACTTTGTCTCATGTCATTGACCAAAATTTACAATGCAGCAGCTCCCCTCCCACTTCCTCCCCATAGTTACCTCCTCCCAGTGTCCATCCCTTCATACTCTTCTGCACCCTGAGCTATCTCCCTGTGCAGCCCTTCCTTCTCAACTCTGGTTGTTTTTATAGTTGAAGGTAAACCCAGGGATGTTGGGCCTGGAATTAACTACTGTTACAGCTCCTCCTTTATATCCTGTTTGTCACTATCTGTGTCTAATTTTCGGAAGCTATATCTCTTCCTGAATTGTAAAGAGTAAACAAAAGAAATATAACAGAAGAATATATAAACTAACCTAAAATTATACCTTGCAACAAAACTTTCTTTCTAAAAATACCTCACCTTCATTTAATTTAAACAATTGTGGCAAGATGGCATCTCTTAAAATACATGAGTAAATCAAAATAACTAGTTCAATGTAAGATTCTTTCTCAAGCCTTACTGTCAAGCCCATTTTCTAGTGACATTTTACAGGCCCTTTCAGCGAATCAGTCTTTCCTGAAAGGTTGCTGAGACTCTGAAGCCCTCTAGCTCAGACTCACTAGACCTGATGCAGGTTCTGCTGAAGGGAAGAGTTCAGAGTTGAGCTTTTCACATGCACTTTACAGTTTAAGGAAGAAATACACCTATTTGAAAACCATATTCAGCACTTGAGTATATGTATTTGAAATCTACATACATTTGTGTGATTTTATTTTTTTAAAGCTAGTATGTTTTAAATATCCATTCTCAAAAAAGAAAAAGAAATAAAAATGTAAAAACACAACAGAGCATTTGTCATTATAATTTCTGACAGCTTATTTTTCTGTTCAGAGTATGCTTATAAATTTATCATGGATTTTGGTTTTGGAAAATACTGGGTATAGGATTGAAGTGAGTGAGATGCCTCTTGCTGCCTTTTGAATGTTAATACATTTTGTTTGAGGAAAATTTTACATGTTGTCTTTCATTCCACTGCCCATCAGTTAAGGTCACGTTACTTCTTCCAAAGCTTGTATTAAGATTCGTTTTTAAGACATCCCTTTATAAAAGAACACGTGTGAATCCACTGCTGTTCTGTCAACATGAAGTTAGATTTCCACAGATCATCGTATAGTAATCAGAAAGTTAATACTTGGATTGACTCTGCTGTCCAGTAGCCACTGCCCACACCAGATCTCGAAGACTCACATTTTTCTTTCAGTTGAGTTGCATTATTCTCTGATTACATATGGACATACTGATGATATACTTAAAAAAATTTCTCACCTAGCCTTTCTTCAAATTACTTGCTTCAGAGCCATCTTAAGATCCAAGTAGACACAGTCGGCCTTACTCTTTATTTTAGACACCCTCTATCACGCATGGCTTGAAATCCTATTTACTCCCAAAAGCATTCCCCCGAGAAGACGGTAGATCTGTAGGATATGCTAATACCCAGAGTAAATTAGGTAAGTTTGCTAATAGGCTAATAGTTCTTTCATACTTTCAGCAACTTCTTCTCTTGTAGTTCCTTCCCACAGATCCAATAAATAGTTCTTTGAGTAAAGCAAAATCACCCGGTTAATCTATGAAAAGTTTCCAACGATCTGGGTCTAGAGGAAAAGCCCATTGGGATAGGCCTCAACCAACCTCCTAGTGCTTTTGACCTGAACCTGCTGTCGCTGATCAAGATGCTTGGCCAGCCTAGACACTTTTCCTGTTGTCAGGGTTCTGGTACTGCTGCACAGGGCCAGGCATATGAAGGATTGTGTTGGCATTGCTATTTGAGCAAGCTCTAGAGCTGTGGTAATAGCTTTTGAGTGCTTGAAATGTGGCTAATGCAACTTGAAGTAAAATTTTTATTGTGGTCAATTTAAATTAAAAAACTACATGCCACCAATGGCCACTGTATTGGACAATACAGATAAAGAACAGTTCTGTCACTGCAGAAATTCCTCTTGACAGCACTGCTCATGACATCTCATCCTAAAGTGCACGCTAGCCTGAAACCGGTTTCTGAACAAGCAGATTATTCCCCCCAGTATACTGAATTATAAGATGGAGGTAGAACACAGATGCCCTGTGATTGTCATGAATATTGATTGATATGTGAATGAAAAACCAAAATAACAAAACATCTACTGAGCTTTGTTTCCTTAGCGGGGAAAAAACACCACATCTTAAAAATATCATAGAAAACAGATGATGGCATATTTTTTTTAGAGTAATAAACTGTTAAATGATGTCTAATAACTGCTAGCACAAGGGGCTGTTGATTGAGAGAACTTATGCTAATGCATCTTTGGGAGATCTATAATCCTTTATCATTTTTTCTATTTAGATACTTAAAGCTTTCACCCAAACACCCAGAATCAAATACTGCTGGAATGGATATCTTTGCCAAATTCTCTGCATATATCAAGAATTCAAGACCAGAGGCAAATGAAGGTAATAGATAAATTAAAGAGTTGAATTACCACTGCAAAAATAAACAGTTATCATGACAGTGGTTATAGAGTAATACCTTGGAGCCAAGCTTTCATATAAGTATTTAAAAACTGACTTTCATAGTTGATCGCAGATTTGATGATAAACTGGGATGAGTCCTTAAGTTGCTTTTTCTCTAGCTAGTGGCACAGTGCCTAGCATGTAGAGGGTGCTTGATAAAATGTTTATTTAATGGGTCTGTTTTCATCGTATTCTGAGATGTTACCATGAAGGGAGCTGTGCAAAGAGAGAATGAATGGTCCATCAAAAACTAGGAATTTTATGGTTGTGATAGTTTGGAATAGATTGATCTAGCTTAACGTAAGTATTAGTAGATCTTTAATTTATTTATTATGAAGTGTCTAATATCAGTCTGAGTAGTTTTTTGTGAGTTTATATATTGTTGTATCATGGCTCCTGTAAGGATCAAACATCCTCTGATTTCAGAGACTTTTCCTTAGAAAGAGGATCTTGAATAAAAAGAAACTAAATCAGATCCTGAAATTCCTTGCCTTCATTTAAAAATAGGAATTTGGACATTATGAAAGATGCCTCAGAGCTTATAATGGCATATTTCATCACTACTAAATTGATCTCTTAAGAATATAATAAATACCAATAGGCCGTTAAATTACATATAGTTGTGTACTCAATAAACCTGCATAAATTAATGGAATCACAGAACTGAAAAAAACTTTGATCTAGGATGGGACATATCAAAACAATCCCTATAAAATGATTTATTCATTAATTTTTCTTTCATTGCTTCAAAAGATTGTATAAAATCCTATTCTCTATTAATTTGGACAGTTTACAGAAAGAATCATGTAGTATTTTCTATGTATCTGTCTGTCACCAGAGTTTATCTGTTTCTTTAAATCTTATTTGCTTATTTTGTACCCTCATCTAAACACTGGTCCTTTTATTTCACTTTCACTAGCCTAAAATAATAGCATTTAGGCATCTAATCTCTTACTTAGAATTGGGCCTTGAAGCGATCCAAATACATTGGATTTTCTAAAATATTTAATACCCTAATAAAGATTGCCTACTCTGAATTACCATGTTGTTGTTGTTGTTATGTGTTGTCAAGTCGGCCCGACTCATAGCGATCCCTCCTTGGGTTGCCGAGGCAGTATCACTACGGAAGTAGATTGCCCAACCTTCCTTCCGAGGAGTGGCTGGTGGGTTTGAACCGCCAGCCTTCTGGTTAGCAGTCAAGTGCCTTAGGCACTATGCTACCAGAGCATATAAATCTATCTCTATGTAAACTGTTGATTATTTAGGTGAGTGTTTGGGGGAGTAAGAAGGCAGATCACTTATTCCCCAAGTTTATTAAAAGCATTTAATTGCACTAAAATGATAAGAAATCTGCAGAGAATATGTATCAGGAGACCCATTAAGTTCCAAAGTGATTTAAAATATTTTTTTCTAAAGTCTTATGTTCTCTATGGGGAACAGTTGCTTGGCAACTGGAATTCTTATTTTATCAATAGATAATTTAATATAAAACCTTCTAAATTGTGCACTGTGCAGTCCATTATGTTCTTATTGGTTACAGCATTTTGAGGATACTAAGTGTAGATGGCTACTTAAGACAGTATCAGATTGGTAGGAAAAAAAATAGAATACAAAGTTATACTTAAATGAGTCACTTTCTCCCTGGTTCTCCTCTCCCTGCAACCCTAGTTCCTAAAAGCAATTTCTTTTTTTTAGAAACAAACACTTTTTCTTCCTCTCTTCTTTCCACTGAGTTTCAAAAGAAATTCAACCACCCTCCAGCTCCCAGAAGTCACAGGGAGAAATAAAAACATTATGACTTTAATCAATCAATGAACAAGAATCAAGAACATTTGGAAATAAAAGGATAGTTTTATGAGAAGAGCAGTCAGCCTGCATGAAGCAAGAGTAAAACAGAGAAAACATTGTCTGTGGGAAGGAGGGGCTCCACGTAATTGTTTACTTAATGTATAAACTGCTGCGACAGAAACATTAGTCAGAACAAAAAAAAGCCAATTACTAAGAAAAATTGCTTCCAAAGCGAGGCAGCTGCTGGAGCACATTTAGTAGATGGAAGCCAGGCCTGTGCATTCGGTTTCTCCCCTTTTCCTTCCATCACTGTAGAAAAACATCTCTTGCAGCGAATACTCCAGAAGCCAAGAGCAAAAAAAAATTGAAATTCAATACTAAATTATAAAATACTGTAATTTAAAAATTTAAGAATCAAAAAATAAAAGCCTGATAGCTCAGAAGTCTGCCTACTGAGATCGCGTAAGGAAATTAGCAAGCATTTCAATTTTTTAAGAGGTACTTACTCTTGCTTAAACAGCACCAATATTTTCCCCTTTTGGTATTATTGTTCATTTGTGGCCATAAACTTTTATTCAAGATAACCCCACCCAAGCTACCAAACCATCTAAAGCTGTGATGAATTCAAGTGTTTTTTGTTAATCACCACTTGTCTGTCAGATTGTCACACCTTGGTGGCTTGCGTGTTGCTGTGAGGCTGGAAGCCATGCCACCAGTATTTCGAATACCAGCAGGGTCACCCATGTGGACAGGTTTCAATGGAGCTTCCCGACTAAAATGGAAGGACAGGTCCATCCACTTCTGAAAGAATTAGCCACTGAAAATCTTAAAGATAGCAAAAGGAGCTAGGTAATTTTGTTATTGTTCCTTTTAAAGAAACTCTAATGTTCTCTATACAGCTTTCTCCAGAAAACAATACTTAACATCCCAGAGAAGAAAAAGGGAAATTATTAAATGGAGTAGGACAGAGTTCGTTAAATGGGCCGTCTGTGAAAGAGACTTCACTTCCTCACCATAAGTTTAGTAAATGAAATAATAAGACAGTGTCCTTCAGTAAGAAAAGAAAATCCCATCTTTACTACCTAAGCAGTTGTCGCCATGAAATGTAACTTGGAACTAAAATCCTAGTTGGCACAATGCAGAAAACTTTGTTGTTGTTGTTGTTATGTGCCGTCGAGTCGGCCCCGACTCATAGCG